CTGCCGAGGCGGGGTTACACACGGTGGGGGGGGGTCTCCATAACCGGGGGGGGGGTCGCTGTCCCCAAAAAAGGGGGGATTCCACACCTCGGCACGGTGTCACCCCCCCCCGGCTGGTCCCTGCAGAGCCGCTTGGGGACACGGATCCGGCGGGAAATGTGCTGAGTTGGCAGCTGAGCCCCCCCAGCCCCCCTCGGGGTGCTCCTGTTGAGGGGTGGNGGGGGGGGGGGGGGGGGGGGGGGTCCTGTGCCTTCGTGTTCCCAAAGTGGGGGCTAATCCCCCCCCGGCACATCCCAGATTGGGTTCCGGCAGCGCTGATGCGGATTAACGTCCCTGGCAATTAGGGGGATGTGAGGGGGTGCCATGGAGCTGGGGGGGGTCGTGGGGACCCCAATCCCCCCACAGCCTCCCCCAGTCAGGACAGCCCGTGTCCCCCCAGCCCCCGGGGGAGTTCGGGGGTGCAGCTGGGTCTCGGGGGGGTGTGGGGGGGTAGGGACACAGCGCATCCCCTCCCGGGATCTGCCGTGGCCCCCCCGGCACAATTCCCTATTTATAGCCGGCTCCTCCCGTGCGCCGGCTATTTCCAGGCGCCAGAGAGAATAGCCTGGATTTGGGGGGGGCGTGGGTGAGGGGGGGCCCTGCGGCCCTGCCCTGCCTGGGCTGGGGGGGCTGCATTTGCTCCTGTCACCCCAAAAACCAGGGATGCTCTGTGATTCCCCCCCGCCCCAGCCAGCATCTCCCCACCCCCACCCGCCGAGGAGGGTTTTGGGGAGCTGAGGTTGGTTTTGGGGGTGCACGTGGCCCCCAGTTCGCGGCCCCTTCAGGGGGTGTCTCTCTGCAGAGGGGGGGTCCGGCCGTGAGCCCCCGCTGGAGCTGCTGCCCCGTGTCCCCCTGCACGCTGCCCTGCCCGCTCCAGGTGAGTGGGGGGCCGGCCACCCGTGCCCCCCTCCCCAAAACCCTGTGACACCACCCCAAACCTGGTGACATCCCCCACAGGTGTGCAGGGGGGAGCTGCTGAACGCGAGTGGGTTCAGGTGTGTAAGAGGGAGAGCCCCCCCCCCCCCCCCCCCCCCCCCCCGGGGGGGGGCCGGGGCGGGGGGGGGGGGGGGGGGGGGGGGGGGGGGCCAGGAAAGCGAAGGTCTAGAGAGGGGGCGAGATATGCCGGTGGGTCCGTGGGGGAGTCAGAGTCCTGTGTCTCGCCCCCCGGGCCCGGGCCCGCGGCCCCCGTGGCTAGCACGGGCCGTTGCAAAGGCGCGCCATTTTGGGGGGTAAAGGGGAAGCCCCCCCCCCCCCCCCCCGTGCAGGGACAGGTGTGCAAGGACAGGTGTGCAAGGACAGGTGCTCCAGCCCTGGGGTGCTGCCCCCTCCCGTGTCCCCATTCTGTGGGACACCCCCATTGTGCCCCTCTCTGTCTGGGGGGCCCTGGGCAGCGAGGGGTTAAACTCCCTCACGGGGGGCTCAGGGTGGGCTGTGGCCCCCCTGACCCCAAAGTCCCCCTTTGACACCTCGGGGTTATTTTTAACCCCCCCCGAGCGCTGCCCCCTCCACGGACTGGGTGCTGACACCCCCCCATTGCACCCCAAGACCCCGCGGGGCCCTTTGGGTACCCCCGGCTGGGGCTGGAGGGTTCGGGGGGGCTGCAGGGGTACCCCCAAAGACCCCCCCGGGAGAGCCAAACCCCGGGGCTGTGCTGGGGATGCTCGGGATATCGGGGTGCTGCTTCTCCTCGGGGGGGTCTGGCAGTCCTGGGGGTGTCTGGCTGCCCTGGGGGGGGTCTCTCGGTGCCGGGGGGGGGTCTGGTGCCCCACCTCCGCGCACGGTGACGTCCGTGGGTCCGCGTGGGGACACGTCAGTGCCCGACGTGCGGCCGCGCCAGGTTGGGGAGGGGGGGCTCATTGACATGCACCGCGTGCCCCCCGCCCCCGCCTTCCTGTGTGCGTGGGGCCGGGCCCCCCCCCAGCTCCTGCGTGCCCCGTCCGTCCCTGCCTGGGGGGGTCTGAGCCCCCCGAGGGTGCTGGGGGGGATCGGTGTGTGCTGCAGATGGAGGGGTTTGGATTGGGTGGGGGGCGCTCCGATTTATATTTTGGGGGGGGGGGCCCCC